GTCGCGCTTGAATACTGGTTTGAGTCCCCGTATCTCTCCCGGGCGCATGTAACCATGTGCGGGGTGATGAATCTTCGGACCTAAGAAACTTCTTAGAAAATACGGACACGAGAGAAAATCGGGGACTACCTGACTCTGGATCCATGGGATCGTCGTCGTCCGACAACGGGGTGAGTGGAGTTAAAGGTCTGTCTAGTAGATTTTAGGAGTTGATTCTACAGAACTGCCATGGAATCATAAACATACCTTGGGTGATGTATGCCTGAAAAGCCGTGTAATGGTCAAGATTGGGGAGTTCGTGTTCCGGCCATTTGGGAGCTGGATCCTTTGGGAGGACCTCCGCCTCAAGGCCTCCAGCCAATTCCATGGTCTGGACATCATTGTTGGGGTTGACGGCCATATGCTGTGTCTCTCGCACCAGCTCGTCGATGATTCGGGCTTGGTCACGTTCGAATTGTGTGGATGTTTCGGCGCAGGGTCGTTTATATGGCTGAGACATCGTGGTACTGGGAAGGGGTGTATGCTGTTAGTTCATTAGCATCATCAATATATACACTGTACTCACCAGGCGGAGAAGCAAAGCACGTAGAGGCAGAGAGGTAGTGGAGATCGATGATGATGGTGCGAACGAAGCCACGATCAAGTCCGTCTGCGCGCGTCGAGTGTGACTTCGACTTGTTTATCTGCTCTTCCAACTCTCATCACCCCCGGGCCCCCACCCTCCTGTACGCGTTCAAATCTCTGGCCATTCCAACAGCAGAATTCAAGGTGCATTTTCCTTCGTCTCCGATCGAGTTTGACTCATCTCATTATTTGTTTCTTCTCGCTAGTTACGCTGTGACGGCGTCCAGTGTCTCTCCCAGTCCCCGGAAGATTGACCACCGCTCTTCATGGCGACTCTTTAAGGTCAAAGCCTACGCGATTCCGGTTAGGACAAACACTATAACTTGGTGCGTTTATTGGGTCTTTGTTTTCTTCTTTCCCACCAATTGACCTCCTCCGTCGCGACTCGTGTGCACCCCCTAATAGTTGTAGGCCCACTGTCCGATCCTTCGCACCGCCCCCACACGACCACCGCTCTCCGTCCGCTGGCCCCGTTTATCGCCCAGCTGCGCTATTCTGCCCGCACCTCAACCGTGCACCGCGTCACTGATCGCGCGGAACGGTGCCCACAGCCCTACCATCCCCTCCTCCATGCGTACCACCCCGGCCACGATCACCTACGTCCTCACCCCACCTCGCACCCGCTCCCACGCGTCCCACCCGT